CAGGGGAAGGGGACTTGCCGCACCGGCGGGCGGCGTGCAGCGTGCAGAGCCCGCCACGCAGGGCCGGGGTTTTCAAACCCCAGGGGCAGGACGACGCTTGCCGGGTGGTGGAGCTGGGGTGTTTGGGGGCAAAGAGAGCGAGTCGGGAGAGGCAAGTGGAGAAAGAGACACAAGGAGAAACCCTCAAAACAATCATGCACCCTGGACCCCACGCGGCACCCCCAAGGGCCCGCCCCCCTTATCTCAATGTCCCCATCTCTTCCCAGGGCCAGGATCTGGGCCGGCCTTCTGCTCTGCTGCACCGTCTTCCTTCCGCCCAGCTCACCTGGGCACCCACTAAGCAAGTGGGTGCAGAGAGGGGTGTGGAGAGCACTGGGCGGAGTTCCCCGCAGAGGTCCCCACCGCCAGCCAGCCGGCGCCCACCTCTGGCTGCCAACCTCGTCTCCAAGATACACAGGGCATTGGGAAGCCAGACCGGATGTGGCCTCCAGGCCTGTCACCCTCAGGCTTCCCGCCCCCGCAGCCCACCCCTGGGCTAGCCAGGAAAGGGAACTTTCTCGTGCCTTCTGCGCCCGGCGCACGCTGCAACATCACCGGCCTTGGCAAGGTACCCCCAGGGGGCACAGCTGGGCCCATTTCACAGCTCGTCAGACTGAGGGTGACAGAACTGAACGCAGGTGCCCAGGTCACCCTGGATGGCAGGTCGGCCTCACGCCCCCGCAGCATGACCGCAGCCTTAGGTTTGCGCAGGAAGTGGGAGGGTCGCGCGTTTACTGAATGCCTACTGCATGCCCTATCAGAAGTCTCCACGGCAACCCTGGCGGGCAGGGACGATTTTTATCTCTGCCATGTGACGAAAGAGGAAAAACGAGGCCTGGAGAGCAAGCCACGAGCCCTGGTGCCCTGCGCGCGCAGGTGGCCGAGGGAGACCCGAACCCAGGACGGCTGGCGGGCACTCACCCGGCCCACGCCTGTCGGCTGAAGTCCTGGAAAGTGCGGAGAAGCCGAAGGCGCCTGCGGAAAGTTGGGGACGGGCTGGCGAAGAAGACAGGCGAGGCGGGCGGGGAACGCAGGCGGCGGGGTGCGCGCGGGCCTGGGGTCTCGGGCACCACGCAGGCCCGCCGCCAGCCCCGGGGCCGGGCCGCACCCCGCCCGGCCTTCTTGGCCCTTCCGGCTTCGCGCTGGGGCCGCCCTCGGGGCGGGCCTGGGGCTCCCACAAAGCCGCGACCGGGGTGACCCGGACCTGGCCACGCTGCAGACCCCAAGGCCGTCCCGCGGTCCCTCTGACATCCCCACGATCGCCGGAAGCGTCCCCACAAACACTCTGGGACTCCCCCAAAGTGTCGGGGCGCTCCCACAAACCCTACCACGGTGGTGTTGAGAGACTCCCGCAGAACTCACTGGTGTTCCCACAGGCCGGCAGGTGTCCCCACCACCCCTAGGAGCATCCTCACTGTCACTGACCCGCCATCTCCCAATTCAGGAGCAGCCCCCCACAATCCCTGGGCTCCCCCTTAAAATCAAGGTGTTCACAGAGAACCCCCCTACAGACCACCAGGGCTTTCCTAAGCACCCCAGGTGTGCCTATAATCCTAGAGATATCCTCACCAATTCTGAGACATCACTATAAACCTCAGTAACACCCCGAGAGCCCAGACTGCACCCACAAATCCCATGCATGATTTAAGAGCCCAAGAGAAATTGCTTCAGATCCCAGGACCCCCACTAGTTCCCCAACAACATCCCCATCATCCTAGTCAGGCTCAGAGACCCCCCCAAAACACCTCTAGAATCCCCTACCGCTACCAGGCTATCCCCACAGAACACAGTTGGGTCCCCCCAAATCCCTAGGTTCCTCACAGACCCCAGGAGGGAATTCTTCCACCGTCCCTTACTGTCCCTGCATCTCTTATTGTCTCCACACACCCCTAAAATACCCCCCAAGTGCTGAGACCCCAACCCAACCTCAGCATGTCTGCAGGCATAAGGGATGACCCCCCCGAACCACAAAGATGCCACTAAAATCCTGGGGTGTCTCACAGACTCCAGGTATAAATCTAAATACAAGGAGACCACAGGATAGTCCCGGACCCTAGGCACTCTAGGGTGTCCCCACAAACCTTGGGGGCACCAGGAATGACACAGCCCCCAAGACGCGCCTTGGCACTTTTAAAAAAAATAATTGGGGACCAGCAGGACCATAGCATAATGGCTATGTTGCTGAACTCCCATGTAGCCTACCACAGTTCGAGTCCCAGACCCGGTGGCTTAAACTCATGCCGGGCGCGTGTGCATGCGTGCCCAAGATCCCGAGAGGAGAATGGAGGAGAAAGGATTGCGGCGTGGCCATCCCCCCTGCGGGGTGAGTTCTCGCTTTCTGTCTCTCTGTCTCTCTCTGTCTGTCTGGTGAGCACACATGCCCTATAGCAAAAACCGCTCCAAAAAAAAAATAATGATAATTTTAGTTGTTATAGGGACAATAATAATTTTAGTTGTTACAGGGGACTTGCGCTAGCTGGAGAGAGAGAAATCCCCGCCCTGGGGGAGGGCCACTCTGCAATCCCTCCTGCTCCAACTCCTCTCAAGATTTTGGGCACGTACACACAGGCGCCAGGCATGTTGTTTAAGCTGCCGGGTCCGGGATTCAAACTACACTCAGTCACATGGGATCAAGTGTCTTAATCACCACCACCAGATGGTCCCTGTGCCTCGTAACTCTTTTTTTATTTTTTGAGAGGTTTTTTTTTTTTTTTTTTCGGTGGAGGTCGGACGGTTTTGCCAGACAGACAGAGAGAGACAGAGAGATAGAAAGCAAGAAATTAACCCTTAGGGGGGATGGCCACGCTGCAATCCCTTCTCCTCCATTCTCCTCTTGGGATCTTGGGCATGCACACACATGCGCCTGGCGTGAGTTTTAAGCCACCGGGTCCGGGACGCGAACCGCGGTCGACTACGTGGGAGTCCAGCGACATAGCCATTATCCTAATTGCTGGTCCCTGCCTCATAACTCTTAACAGACCCTTAGGGGGACCAGCAGATGGCGTAATAGTTATGTCACTGGACTCCCACATGGCTGCAGCGGTTCGAGTCCTGGACACAGTGCCTTGAAACTCAAACGTGTGTGTGAATGCCCAAGATCCCGAGAGGAGAGTGGAGATGGGATTGCGACATGGCCATCCCCCCTTGGGGGGGTGACTTCTCACTGTCCCTCTCCGTTTCCCAGCCTGTCCATCTCTGGTGAATTCACATGCTCAGTAGCAAACCGAAAAAAGAAAAAAGAAAAAAACAGACACCTGTTGAAGCCTCAGATGTACCCATATCTCCTAGACGCCCTGAAGGTCACCCCCGGGGGCCAGCAGGTGGTGTGGTGCTGGTTGCGGGCGGCTAGACTACCACATGGTTGACGGCAGTTCAAGTCTTGACCCCGGTAGCTTGCTTTCTCACTATCTTCCTTTCTCTCTCTGCCCCTCTCTAGTTAAATTAAAATAATAATAATAATAAAAAAGAATAAAGAAAGTTAAATTTAAAAAGTCTTAAAAAATGGGGGCGGGGACCAGCAGTTAGCGTAATGGCTATGTCGCTGGACTCCCACGTAGTTGACCGCGGTTCGCGTCCCGGACCTGGTGGCTTAAAACTCATGCTGGGCGCGTGTGCGTGCGTGCCCAAGATCCCGAGAGGAGAATGGAGGAGAAGGGACTGCGGCGTGGCCATCCCTCCTGGGGGGTGATTTCTCGCTTTCTGTCTCTCTGTCTGGCGAGCGCACGGGCCCTATAGCGAAAAACCTCTCCAAAAAAATTTAAAAACAGCTCACCCCCCGAGTCCTGGTACTCTTTATTATCCCTGAAAGACCTGTGGATTTGGGGCCCCCACCGCTCAGAAGGTGGCCCCAAGAACCTAACCTCCTCTCAGCTCTGATTCTTATGAAGTGGCAGGAACAGCAGCAGTAAGGACTTTTGGGGGCCCAGCAGTGACCCCCCCATGCCCACCCACTCAGGACTTACATTATCCCCTTTTTCAGAGAAGAAAACCGAGACTCAGAGAGGTTAAAACCCTTGAACAAACTCAACCGGGCGTCCCAGAACCTACCCCAGTCTGTCTGGCTTCTCAGAGTCAGGGAAGGGGGAACAGTTTATTTTACTTTTTTTTTTGGGGGGGGGTTATGATTATTTGTTTCTTTTTTTTCTTTCTTTTTTTTTTTTTTTTGGAGAGATTTTCACTGTAGGGTGCGTGTGCTCGCCAGACAGACGGAGAGAGACATAGAGACAGAAAGCGAGAAATCACCCCCCAGGGGGGATGGCCATGCCGCAATCCCTTCTCCTCCATTCTCCTCTCAGGATCTTGGGCATGCACGCACACACGCCCGGCGTGAGTTTTAAGCCACCGGGTCCGGGACACGAAACGCGGTCGACTACGTGGGAGTCCAGCAACATAGCCATTACGCTAACTGCTGGTTCCCATTATTTATTTATTTTAACTTGACCAGACAGATAGAGAAAGACAAAATGAGAAAGCAAGCTGCCGGATCCGGGACTCGAACCATGGTCGGAATGTGACAGTCCAGTAGTGCCTTAACCA